TAACTACATAACTACATAATGGTGAGAAAATGGAAAAATTAAATTTTAATCCCAATAATGGATAAATAATCAGGAGATTGAAACTTAGCGTACTTATATGCTGAATGTGTTATTCTAAGTTAATTAAACGTGTTCTACATTATGCTGTACCGTATGCAATAAACACTGTACATATATTGATTGAAAATTCACCATGATACATCTTCGAGGTTGCGTATGACGTGTACAATTTTAGTGTTTTCTTCTACGATATTATTATACGAAGGTTGGGAGGCATGCATTCAGAAGGAGAAAACACCTTCCCAGTGTTGCTTTTTTGCGGATGGAGGTTTATTATCCTGTATGCTGCGCGTCACACCGAAGTCGTGGATGCAGACCATTTTTTTAAATTACAGTCTAGAGTTAATACGCATTTTATATCGTACCTCGCCATTTGTGCTTTCAAAATCGATATTAATAGTGCATGATTTATAATAAAAATGATTAATCAGCAAAGGTACCTATCCAGTTTAATTAGGACAGAACTGACATATGTTTTTAAGCATTATCTATGGCTAACCTAACTCATATGTTGATTTATAATGTTTTAAATCTAAGGGTATCAGGCATATTATTCTAAAAATGTTAAATTTATTGAGGGTTACGTGTACCTTTTCTGTGGCGTTGACGTCGCCGCCATTGTCAAGGCACTTGCGGACTGATCGTACGTCACCGATTTCGATTGCATCTCGTAAAGCCTAGAATTTAAGAAATAAAATCAATGTATTGAATGCGATTTTGACCATGGATTAATATAATAAATATATAATCATATGTATCCGTACTATGTATAGACACTAGCTAAGTGATAAATTACACGGTTCATTGTATCTTGAACAAAAAAATTGATTGGTTATATACAAGAACGGAAATATTAATGATACCACTATTATCATTGCTAATGACAGTGTCAGATAGCAAAAAATGTTTAGTGATAAACAATACAAATATAATACAAATATTATAGAAAATGTTATAAATCAAATGTCTAAAAAGCTTACTCAAGGCATACCGTATTACTACTAAACATAATACCATATTAAAAATAAATGATAACACAGACCTAAGATTAATAATTATATTAAAACCTACTGAATTAACCAGGTTCTGTTGTAGACACAACAATACTAACGCAGCTTTGGTTTGCTCTCTGTTTTTTGTTTTGTTTTGTTTTTTATCTTAAGCTGATGTCTATTTTTAATTAACACCGTAAAATTAAGAATAAAGATAGACCTAAGATTGATAATTAGACCTAGGCCTATATTAGAAACTACTACCGTACCTAAACCAGGTCGTTCCCTTTTAACAGCAGTACACACAACAATAATAACACAGCTTTGGTTTACTCTCAATTTGTTTACCTTACCCTGATGCGTATATAGTTGCAATTATTACTGTACAAATATATTACATAATGCAATGCATGCGGTAACAGGCCTAAGATAATTACTATTATATTAAAAACTACTTATCTTTTAGCTGCAGTACACACAACAATGATATTGCGGGTTTGGATTGCTCTGAGTTTGTTTACATTCGCTGACGCTTATAGTTTTATTTTTAAAAAGAGATCTATCATGTGTCTTTGCCATTGTTTCCCACAGCATTGTTGTTTTTCAGTATTTTGCCTTTTAATATAACACAGCTTTGGTTTACTCTCAATTTGTTTACCTTACCCTGATGCGTATATAGTTGCAATTATTACTGTACAAATATATTACATAATGCAATGTTGTTTTTCAGTATTTTGCCTTTTAATCTAATGTTTATATACACACACACACACACACACACATATATATATATATATATATATATTGATATATATATATATATATATATATATATTTAAAATTCATTTGTACACAATATAAACAAATATAATGATAAAATAATGCTTGATACGATTATAAGTACCTCTCCGGACATTATATTTTGTATATATTTGTTTATATTTAAATGTATATATATGTAAATGTATATATATATAAAATAATAATAATAATAATAATAATAATAATAATAATAATAATAATAATAATAATAATAATAATAATAATAATAATGTTACATTTATTTAGCTCGTCATGTTGGAATTTATAAGTGTTTTACATAAACAGAAAAGAGAGAAAAAAATGAAAAAGGATACCTAAGTGTTTTTAAAAGTTCATACTGGTTATAAACAGCGTAAGAATCTAGGTCCGTGCCTGTTACTCTTTTATTAAATTATCTCATAATGTTTTTTAAAAAGCTGGTAGGCCTAGCTCGACTTGTTCAGTGGCGGCAAAATACCGATTTTCGATGCTATCAAGCTACAAATAATCTAGCCTTAATACTTAAGCTTACCCGTCTTGCTGCGACTTCTTTTCTCGTTACTACCATTGTTTACCATGCGACGAAACATTCGTTACCTGCAATTATGTGCATGTTGACTTAATATCTCTATAAATGATGAATTTACACCAGTTCGTCTTATTATGTTATCCAAGCTATTGGAGTATATATTAGTAATAAAACAAATAGGCCTACAAGTGGTTTCTAACGTTGCATGTCATCACTATGGTTACATTCTTAGTTCGATATTTGATATGAAATTTATGACGCCAATCTTTGTAAAGGCTTGGTGGATCGTGTTGTCGTTATGATCATTAAAAATCGAACGATTACTCTTCATTTTCGATTGGTACGAGAAATCAATTTACCATAAATAATACAGCTAATCATAAACGCTTGGTATAGAGGGGAGCTACACTAAACATGTGCCTTATTATATTCCTCTATGAAACAAAACATTTATTGGTTGTACAGTACCGAATATTCATAACATGTTTTTATAGATGATTTTATGTTTTTTACCAAATTTCTAGCTGTTCTTTCTCGCCTGGGTTTCCTTTCATCTGATATCAAAATTATTTTATTTAATTGCTTAATTCGTGCTTATATTGAATACTGTTGCGTTGTTTGGTCTCAAACATTATTGTGTATTTTATGTTATTCATGTGCTTTTTAATAGACTGTTACATCTATCCATCGGCATCTCAAGGTAACTGATTGGACCTTTCCTCCCGTTGGCAGTACATGCTACTCCCTGCTGTTGTTAGATGCGTTAATGGTTAAACTAATTCCTCCATGGTTGGACTTGCTCCACCGCTAGTACATTACCTAATTTGCAAGAGGTTCGAAGATCCCCTATCGGGCTTGCAGAGGGGAGTATGTCAATGGGGGAAGATCCTTGGTTGGATGCTCAGGGCCAGGATGTGAAAGTCTCTACCAATTAACTTTTAATCACAAACATCTTTGTTTACTTTTTAAAAAACATATTAAGGCCTTTTTATTTTCGAAGGCTTAAGTTGTAGATTCTTTTGGGTTTTTTTCTGTGTTCTTAAAAGAATTGTTTTTTGTTTTTGTTTTTTTTTGTTTGTTTGTTTTTTTTTTTTTTGTCT